CGCAGCTCGAGTTCCTGAAGGGGAACGTCTCCAGGTTACGAATGTAACCATGGTTCCCAGAGGGAACGAGACACTGCGTCTCAGTGCCATACTTCTGGCATCCCTGTGAGCACTTGCTTCATTCCTAGAAGCTGACGCCGATTCCACCGCACGTGCTTTTATAGCTTCCTGGTCGCAACGTCACCCGCCCGTGATGTCTCGCCCTTCAATTGGACTAAAAACTCTCGGTTAACATGTTCTCTTCAATTAGACGTGTCAAATCTTTCTGAAATCACAATATTTACTCTCGTATATATTCATTATAAGTATTTATTCAATAAAGATATCAATAAACGAATGCTAGTCAGTCAGTAAAACGAAATGACAGTTAATTTTAAAATTATGCACGTGGCTTTATGTGGAAGACAGGACAAAAGCATGTACTGGAGAAGCGTATGCAGATCAGACGCACGCAGTAAAGAAAGATACAAACAAACCCAGTGTTTATGTTATGCTTTTCAGACTACACTTAACCTTGCTTAATTTCAGCTATAAAGTTGTAATTATATTATCATTATAATGCGATTTGACTACTTTGATGTCTACACTTTATTAAAAGCTTATTTCAGACTTGAAATTCTGCAAAAAATAGTTTGTTTGTGATTAAAAATATACATTTCAGCATTAGAATAATCAGAAACATCTGCAAAGTTTTAATTAGTTTACATGGTTATGACAACTAAAGATAACCTGCAGGGAACGTTCTCTCTAGGTTATGAAAAAATCTAAAAATAACCTACAGGGAACGTTCCGGGAACGTTCTCTTCAGGTTATAAAAATAAAATAAAAATAACCTACAGGGAACGTTCCTAGAACGTTCTTATTTGGTTCCCAAAAAATAACCAAATGGGAACCTAGTGGGAACGTTAGGGGAACGTTCTGTGTTTGTTGGGCATTATCCACTTACTATACATAATCCATTGCGATTTATTTGTTATTATATAAATTTACGTTTCTCCAGATTGCCCTTCATTCAAGTCTTCGGTTTACCCGCGCTTATAATATTAGCACAGAATCAGTTGTCCAAAAGAACCAGTTCGGTTCAGACGTGCTGTGTCAGTCATAGTAGGCAATCTGTTCGGTAGCTTCACGCTGAATCACGCATGCGCAGTATCATCAGCTCATTGGTTCTCAAATCGGACGTGTCCGAAAGAAACGGTTCTCGGTTCAGTGTACTGGTGATCCGAAAACCGATGCAACCGGTTCTTGACTCGAGAACGAGAACCGCTCCAGCAGTGGGCGTGTACGTTCGTTATCCGGCGCGCTGCACACATGCAGCAGGTTCATCATCAGTTCTCTCTTCACAGCAGTTCAAACAGTGTACTGTTTTAGTAATTGGTTTATTTCAACTCAGAGGGAGTGTCAGCCACGTTAAAAAAGTGAATAACTTAAGTAATTTGTGGATTAATGCTTACTGGAGACGCAAACTGTTTCAAACGATTCAGTCCGATTTGGTGAATCGGTTAAATTGAACGATTCATTCGCGAGTCGGACATCACTAGCCTTTTATTCACCGTGGGACTTCCGTGTTTGCTGTCTTCGGGGAGACTTGATGAGAAAGTGCTGCCTTGTCATTCTTTAATCGCAACTCTTTTATTTACCACCGATATAATTTGGAAATGTAGAACATGTGCACAAGAACAACGGGACGAGTTGACATTTGACCCGGTGTCAAAGGCACCGTTTGGACGCTCCAGCACCCACGGAAAAACTCGAGAGATTGTTCATTCATTTAAACCCATCAAACAATCGTTTGAGATTCGAAAACCTCTCTGATTGGTGGATCTCACATCTGGTCCCGGCGGGGGGTTGGGGTGTGGTTGGTTGGTGGTTAAAGTAGTGCCCAAAGTAGCACAATGACCATATCCCAAATATCAAAACTCAAAATATTTCATTTCCATACCTTAATTTTTTTACAGTCATTGTTATGCATATTGATCATAAACACAGCTAAAAAGCTTCCTACCAGTGGCCCTCCTTCACAAAACTTAACATCTAGCACAGTTGTATCATAGGTAGAATGCAAAATGTTTCAATACAAGCATTTCAGTCAAATGTAATGTATGCAACATTTCAAACCTTTAACCCAAGAGGGAAAATCAAGCCATGGCAACAGTTTAAAAGTAGCCCAATTCCACGAAAAAAAAAAACAGTCAGATTTGACTGATTAGGGGTTGAAAGGAGAGATGGCTGACAGATCAAGCTGGAGGATTTGCTGCTCAACAGATCCTGAGCTCATTGACAAATATCTGATCTTCCATTACACAGAGCGCGCGATCGCAAAAGTGAAAGTGAACAGCGGGCACTCATTCAAAAGATATTTAAAAACTCTGCATATTGATGGCGGCTCCCTGATGCGCGAAAATTATATGCAATATTACAATGATTGCAGGAGCACTGGACACAAAAATCAGGGTAGCGGGTGATAATGGTCAGAAATTCAGCGGGAGTGGGATTAAGAAAACAGTCCCTCGCAGGGCTCTAATACAAAAATGCACACAATGAATGGTGACTGTAGAATGCAAAAGCTGAATCCCGGACATTTTGGGCGATATAGAAATCCCGGCCGGATGCAATTTTTTTTAGGTCCGAAAAGAGGACGTATGTTCACCCTAGTATAATTCAGACACCTAGATGTTTTTTTTATTTATTTTTTTTTTACTTTTGCTAACTCTAAGGTCCAGCTATAATATTTCAATTTGAATACAGTTCATATAAAGTGTTATTTGCAAGATATATACCAATACATATTTTGAGGTCATGTACTCCAAACAAATTTATTTTCAGGTAAAGTGGGCCAGCTGGTCTGGTAAAGTGGGCCATCCCTTATTTATCAAAAACTATTCTGCATCTTAATTAAAAACACACAATTTATTAACACATATTATCAGACAAATATATTTAACAGCATATTAAAGGGGTCATATGATGCGATTTCAATTTTTCCTTTCTCTTTGGAGTGTTACAAGCTCTTGGTGCAAAAATATATAACCCACAGGTTATGAGTAAAATAAATAATGTGTAAATCCTCATCTTAATTAATTTGTGAAATTCCAAACAACTGAAAGAACATGTTGTGTTGAAATTATATTTGATTAAATCTGAATATCAGAATATTCAGAAATCAGAATATTGATCAAATTAACTCTACAATATGTTAAAAATGTGACCATAACACAAGCGACAACAAATAGGCCTAGTCTAAAAAAAATAAGAAGAACATTTAAAATGGTAACCATGTAAAAATGTTTTTCTATCTATGTTCTCTAAACACTTTAAATAATTTTTTATATGTGTCCATATTTTAAAGCTTTATATCCTGCATCTACATTTTGCTCCTCCCATCCTTTCTTCACTCCACAGATTGAACTTTATGCCTTGACTTCCTTTCTTCCATCTCTGACTTGAATTTACTGACTGCAGACTAATTTCTGTTTTCTAAAAAAGTTAATTATACATGTCAACTATAAAATAACCAGTGAATGTCAATTTATTTAATGAATTTGAGTATAATTACTGAAGGTTAAAGGTAAACTCACTTTACTTGAATCCCACCGGCCCACTTTATCTAACACATTCAGTCAAAGTGGGCCAGCAATATTTAAACACCTTACAAGAAAACTAAAACATTTTTAAACATTTTGTTCTTTGCATTTTATTCCCTGTTAACTATGGAAACAAAAACAGCAGGATCTGTTTCCATTTAGTGAGCAACCTTATAATTTAGAAATGAAAATCTCATGTCAAAGGGTTTTGTAGTTTCTACCTTTCACCGTGACACAGTCCTCCTTTGAGGTGTGGGCACACCCACCAGTGTTATATTGCATCCACCAAACCTATTTTATCATTTAGAGAAACAGTGTCCCTTTAATTAAGAACCATTGTTATGCTCTGAAAGTGCAAACCCACTGAGCACAGTACAATCAGACTTAAATGGCCCACATTACCTGAATTCACCCTATCAGTGCAAGCGACTAATGACAACATTCGTGTAAAGAACATGTGTTTTTGTTTGGCCGGTAATGTGTTTGCTGTGTGTTTCTCTTCTTGAGACACAAATATATGTTGTGTAATGAATTCATCAAACAAAAAAGACAGTGGGCCTAATAGTTATTGAGTAAGGAGCGTGTGAAATGTTTAATGGGCATTTGTTGTTGCATATGTCTAGGTACCACGTTTAACCCATCATGGAAACGGTGAATACAGATGTGTTTGTTTGGCAATGCCTTTGCACTTGCAAGTGAATGAGATTCTCGTAACGCTGAATATAGGGCAAGAGGCTGATTATCAGCGACGATGCGATCGCACATCATTCGGATAAGCCAATGTTTTCCATCGATACGGGACAGTGGCCGCTGGCAACGCAAATGCATCTTTATGCAAATGATGTGCGTAATCCATGGGGATGCAAAACGGTGATTCACTGCCTGATTTGTGAACGCCTACTAGTAAACTTGTGGAGTAAAAATGATGGAAGGCAACCCCTAGCTGTCCCCAAATTATGTTCATTTCTACTAGTTTTTAGGACTTTGATTTTTACATTATTTTACAGAACTTTTAGGTCTCGTAAATGTTGGTCTGCATATTCATTTTGAGTGAGTTTTTTTATTATTATTGTATTTTTTGTTTTTACACTGTTGCATCAGATTGACTGTATTTTTTCTTTGCAGAAATCCAAGAAGGATCCTGTGTATGCAAATGTCGCCAAAAAACGGTGACCAAATTCCACGTCTCTACTGGAATAAATGATAGCGCTCATACAGGCCCTGACTCACACTTCTATTAAATTTATTTATTTATTTTTGCCAAGATGTTTGTCTGTTTTTTCCCCTTGCCTTTTGCATCACATTGTTTAATTTGATCTTATTTAAATAAACATAAAATTGTACATTGTACAGTATCACACACATGTGATAAGGAAATCGCTTTAATGTCTAAACAAGAAAATGTCCTCTGTAATAACAGCGCTATAAACATATACTGCTGTTCTCAATATAATGAACTGAATAAAATCTATACCTAATCACTGCCTCCTGTTGCTTGTTTATAAAAAAAAAATAATACAGCTTACTTTGGTTTATTTCCTGCTATAGGACCTGAAGACAAACCTGAAGCTGTAATGATCAATGAAATTATTATTATTATTATTATCATAGATTGACGTAGATTGATAATCGATTGGACCAATATCTGGTGACTGGAAACGCTTTATTAATACACATGCAGTGAAAACATACACTCATCTAAAAGATGTTCGTCCACCCAAAAGCTCAAACCACATTTCTGAAGAAAACTGCAGCTTTCAGTTTGACTCAGAAGATGAACCTCAGTATAACTTGTACTGTCAGATCATACACATGTGAAACATGCATATGCAGACAGTATGTGTGTTTGCATTAGGAGAGTCAAACTCTGTCAGAGGAGGATTCACATCAGTTCTGTTGTGTTTGTTTAGATTAGTTGTACTTTCACTGATAGTCTTATTAGATTTGACTTATCACTGAACAGCTGAACATGTTTCACATGTTTGTTTTCTTCTGTTTATGCTGTTATAAGTTAGAAAGTAAGTTGGTCTTAATGTTCACTAACATTGATAATTACATAAATACACATAGCATTTTTAAAATCACTAATGGAGTTTTGCTCAATTTTACTATAAAACAGTTTATACCCAATTCACACAATATTCTTCAACGTTTAGTTATTGAGCTAAGTCAGGCAGCTAAAAAAACAAAAGTATATTACATTATAAAAATACAGAATTCAATTAAATGTGTACTTATAATTACCATTTTTGTTGTTAATGATTTATGTAACTTCATAAATTAATTTTCCTCTAGACTAGATAACTTTAAAATAAATTAAGGTTATGGATGTGTTGCACAATAAGGATTAATCTTAAATCTAGATTAAACCAAGGTTTATCTAATCATTCTGTTGCATCAAACTTTGTTTAAAAATAAGAATACTTATTTAATCCATCATTTTGATCGTGGTTTTACTTTTCTTTTTTTACATTTAAGAGATTTTAATTTAAAGATTTAAATATTTTTTTATTAAAATATCCAAAAAACACTAGAACAGTGTTATATATGTTGCTGACTTGTGTACTTACATTATCCCAAATGTTTCGAAGAATGTTTAAATGTGTTTATGCGGTTTAAGGTTCCAAAAACACTTTATTTTCCACATATTGTACATTATTGTTTCTCCTCTATGCCCCGCCTTTCTGAAACGCGTCTGATTGAGGTGAGGTGTGCTCTGATTGGCCAGCTATCCAGTGCGTTGTGATTGGCCGAATACCTCAAGCGTGTGACGGAAATGTTACGCCACTTACCATACTGTGATGCCCTGTCTGGCTGGAGCGACGAGACAAAAACATTAAAACCCATTATAAAGGAGACATTTGTTGCATCCAGTGGGGACATAATTACGGATTATAATGACATATACTCTCTTTTTACGCATTGCATCGCGCCGCGTAAACATAAAACCATGTCTGCATTTGTGATCGGAGAAATGACAAACAAGTGCTACTCTACACTGCTCAAAACTCGCGTTTGAATCGTCAGTGGCAAATTCTTTAATATAAAAAAACGTACTTACAGTCTGTAACACATATGAATATTTGGGTTGAACTGAGTTCACGTGTGATTCATTAAACATTCATATGCCGCATTCAAATGTGGCGGCAGAAAACAATCGTCATTTGAATATCACGCCCCTAAAAACACCCTGGTTTAGAAGCCTCGCCCCTAGAGTTTACGACACGGAGAAAGGAAACCCGGCCAAAAAGAGGAAGTAATCTCGTGAAAGAGAAATTGATCTTACTCCAAAAACACACGTTAACCTTGTAATTGCAAACAATTAGGCTACATTAATATATGTAATTTATATGTATATTAAAATACTGGTAAATATAAACAGCCTATTTAGTTCCCCTCACTCTACAACAAATATTTTAAATTTAACGGTATTCAGAACAAAACAAGAATGAAAAATAAGTAGTTATACAATTATATTTTAAACTATAAAATAAAACACAAATTAGGCTATAGTGGCATTCATTATAAGCAGCATACCAACGTCAAGCAAAACTGAAACGGCATTGGGCTCACGAGCCTGTCTCATAGGCCTACCACAAGAATCCAAATGTTTCCATTTTTGCCATATTTGTAACTTGTTTGCATAACTATTATTCATTATGTAGCCTAAACATAGCTTTATACTTCAGTCATGTTCTAATAATCCTTCACATGCGCAAACATGTTTGTTTGGGCGGTGCACGCTGATTTTACAGCAGACCTTTTAAAATAAACAGTGTAACTTTTATGTTTGGTTGACTGCATTTTAGTTTGATGATGAATGGCTGAAATGTCAGGCAACGGTAGAACTAATGATGTTTGTGTGTGTGTGAGGCACCTGTGCGATCAGATTGATTAAATCAAATATAGATATAAAGAATACTGGTTACTGTTTTTTTTTAGAAGAAAATACTGGTCTCCCAGACTTGCAATAGAGGACAAAAATTAAGAGAATATTAAATATATTTATTTGTGTTCCAAAAAGTAGCAGAGTTTGTATGGGTAGTGCTGCCAGAGACATTAAACAACCACACAAAGTGGTTTAAATTATAAAACAGACTATTTACCTATCCTTACTGATGTGGATGCACCTCTATCTGAAAATGGATAGATTTTAATTAAATGCTTTCCTTTTTCAAATGTTTTTCTCTTTTTAGGCCACTGATGAAGAACAGGTGGTGACTGGGATGAATGCTGGTCAAAGAGGAGAATGTCCTTTCCCCCAAACTGATGCAACAGTGGTTTTAAAGGAGGAGGCTGCCCTGGATAATGTAAAAGATGTCACATGCCTTTGCTGTGCTGATGGGGCTTCTTCATGACTACATCAATTATGCTAAAGAGATCATGCAAATTGGCCGCGATGCCTGATCTGTATTCATGGGCTATAAAACAAACTGTAAGTGTATAATTTGTAAAAAAAACAAAATGTTAAATGTCTTGTTGTTGTTGTTTAGTAGAAATGGAGTTTGTCATTCATACACATGCTCACATTCTTTCACACGTTTCTGATAAATGTTATAATATCAGTATTAATGTTGTGGTTTATAGACCAGAATAGTTTGTAAATATCTTAACTATTAATTAATTGTACAACTATTTTATAATAGTGTTTTTGTATAATATTTTTATAGAATTTATCAAATTTACCACAAAAGTCAAATTTGATCTTAAAAGTTATATTCAACAAATGCTTAATTTATAAACTCTGTAGCTGTCAATGCCATACTTTTCTGCATTTCTTCTTACATGCATGTTACTTTTGACTGTTTTCTCTTGTTTTAAATAAATATTTACCATTTGATAGTCATTCTGTGTGTGTAAAAGTGATTTTAAAATGAACAAGATTTGTAGGTTTAATGACTAGCTCGATTTGGGATCATTTTAGCCTAGCAGTGTAGTAATTGTAAACCATAAAAAAGCAATAAAAGGTCAAACATAATAACCCAACTTGTTGGGTTAAAACAACCCAGTGCTGGGTTCGTCAGTTTTTGACCCAGCGCTGGGTTGCCAAAATAACCCAGCCGTTTTTAGAGTGTATATGCAGCATTTTGTTGCATTTTTCTAATGCGCTTCTGAGAAAGCGGCATCCTGTTTGTTTCCTTTATTTTACAAAAGCACAATGTTTGTTTTTATTGTGAATGTACACAAATAAAAGAAATATTTAGAATAGTTTTGAATAATGTCTTACTGTTATATGATCACAAATGATAGGCTATTGTAAGTTGTTTACACTTTTATAAGGGGAAAAAAATCAAGTGATTGTGCTGGCACATCCCGAGCGTAGTTAAGCATTATTAACTCGACAACGCAGCCTGTTCATTGTCATAATAAAATACAGTCAGCCAAACATATTGAAAAAACATGCTATTTTATTTCCCCTCATTTCAGAACAAATTCTTTAAATTTAACAAACAGTAGGCTACTCAGAACAAAACAATAATAAAAATATAAGAAGCTACTAACAAGCCAAAATGAATTAATTTAAAATGTTGTACTTATTATTCCAATATCCACGTAAAACAAGATCTTCAGAACAAAATGAATAAATGTTAACTTGCAACGTAGCCTACTAAAGGATCATCAAATTAAGATATGTAGCTATGTTTGAGAGGTAACTTGTCAATTTAATAATATGAATATGATTAATGCGCTTTTGAACTACAGGGAAATGGTGCTTTAACATGAGCAACACGAACACGGACGCTGCCTATAGTCTAATTCTGTCATGTGACAACACATTTATTTAAGTTAAAGCCCATTTTCTCGACAAAAAGTGTTTCCAAACAGATATTTGGCGACATTTGAAGTATTGATATAGAATTTATGCTCTAGGTTAAACGGAAAAAGATTGTGTCGACTCGACACATGAGAAATGTGATCGATAAATGGCATTTCCATCAGCTATATTGGTAAAAATGTGGAAGCGCTAAATATAGGTTATATATACATACATATATATATATATATATATATATATATATATACTTTTTTTTTTCTCGCAAAAAAATCCTTTGATGGAAACCTGGCTACTGATATACATGGCCTTTGCCTAATTGCCTGCCCGCTCGCTCCCACCACCTGCCACCTGCAAGGCAGGGCCCCAAAATTATCCTGCTTAGAGCCTCCAGATGTACAGGGCCGGCCCTGGTTACACACGGCGGGCTTGAGTGAGCGGCGTTATCCGAATAAATCTTCCCACATCGTGACGTAGACATGTGGGGGCGTGTTAGAACGAGCCGT